TTTCCTCTTGCCCTCAATCTCTCCTGTGAGTATCAGATTTTCTAAGCCCTCTTTCCTCATTATGTATCCCAGAAACCTTAACTGTCTCTTCGTGGTGTTAAGTATAAGTTTCCTTTTTGTTACCATTTTCTCTAAAACCTTGTCATTGCTCCCCATGTTTGGTCCATGTTATCCCCAGTAACCTTCTGAAAAACCATATTTCTGTTACTTCAAATCTATTCTTCATCTTTGATGAGATTGTCCAGCATGACATATAGGAGGATAGAAAATCATCTAACAATTCAGTACTCTTCTTTTTTAACCAAGTTTTTTTTCTGTTCCTTATTACACTGTTTAGCATTTGGAATTCATCTTTGGCTATCCCAGTGTATTTTCGGACTTCATTGTCGCACTTTCAGTCCTCTGTTAGAACACTTCCCAGATATTTATATACGCGTGTGCGTACATAGTATGGATGTGTGTGTGTGTGTGCGCACGAGCATATGTGTATGCGCGCACGAGCGTATACGTGTGTGCGCACGCGCGTCCAAACGCGTGTGTGTATGTGGTAAATAAAGTTAAATAAAAAGTAAAAACGTTTCGAAAAAAGCTTATATCCCGAAGTTTCGTAGAAATTACTCCGTCTTTCAAGATTAAGATTATCAATTGAATTTATTAACAGATCTCAAATCTAGTTTAAAACGCGTTACGTACAAATGTTATTTTTAAATGCCAACTTAATTTTAAATATTATCACACTCCTGCCCTGTCTTTTGAACGGATTATGAGTAGAGGTTTATGACGTGTTTCCTGTTTAAGATTATCCCCTTACTTGGTAAGATTAATTAAGAGTAAGTGATTAAAAAATATTGTGCATAGAATTTATAAAAAAAATTTTTTATCTTAAATGTGTTGATTGGAAGTACAACGACAAGTATCGAGTTATTTTTAAATAAATCTTTTTTCATGGAGCGTATTGAAGAAAAACAAATTAATAAAACGTATTGAATAAAAAATAATAAAACTTAGAAAAAAAAATTGAATAAAAAAAATAATAAAACGTACTAAAAAAAAACATGATGTTATTTTTTCTTATTTTTTTGTCTTAATCTACGGATTTAGATGATGTACGTGCATATTTACGTAGATATTCGGTTATCAAAAACATTTTTTACAATAATGTTCAGCTTTACAAGGCCCAAGAGCCGCTCGAGCTAGAAGGTGAGCGGTAGAGATTATGTGGATATGTGGGGGAAGATAACGGTTAAACCTAGATTTGAACAGGTTAGGTTTTTTTTGATCGGCGAAGAATTCTCTTGGGAGGGGCTTCCACAAAGGAGGGGCTGGTGGGAAGAAGCTGCTCGAGAGAAACTTACGCCTCACCAATGGAAGACGAAGAAAATGAGGGTGGCTGGCTACAATGTGCGTGGCATGGCCGGTCTTAGGCGTGAAGGTTAGAAATGGTGGAACTAAAGAATGTATTTCGTCCATGAAAATGGCGATAGCGTAACGAGAGAAAAGTGCGCTACAGAAAAACAGTTACACTCTCTCTTCCCTCCTCTCTCTCTCCCACCCTCTCTCTCTCTCTTTATATATATATATATATATATATATATATATATATATATCCGCAGACAGACTGTTTTGCTTTATCACAGCTCATCAATTTGGTTACACACACGATCGTTTCAATCTGGAACCAAAAAAATTTGGCATCGGTCAGAGATTCAAACCACTAGGCTATCGGTGCCCGGGCAGAGAGAAAAAGCGAATTTTTTGCGTATTTATTTTTTCATGAACACGCCAGTGATCTCTCCAGCTTGGAGAGTCTTGCATTATCAGCGGTTATAGTGACTATCTACAAATTCGCGCTTTTCCCCACAGTGCTCGACCGAATTAATTATTTTTCAAGAGTTGATATATATATATATATATATATATATATATATATATATATATATATATATATATATATATAATGCCATAGGCAATAATTTTTATTTCATGAAAGCTATAAAAATAGCCTTCAATCTTTCCGACCTGCAAACCAAATATAAAAGGAAAAAATTACTCCAGGTTAAATTCAAAATATACAGATATTGTATTGAATGAGAGGGAGATAGAAAAAATAGAAGGAAAAATTCAAAATTATGAACATGTAATGGTGACGTTGTGGGGAAAGGAATACACACACACACACAACCAAACACACACAAACACACACACACACATATATATATATATATATATATGTTTTGTAGGCCAACTGACAAGGTCTGTTTGTATAATTTATATTGCATGTTTTCACTTTTCGAATAAAATATTGTTCATCAAAATCAACGTTATGGCTAAACTACCCAAGTTCCTTTTTTTGTCCTGCATTGTTCAAATAATTTCGACTATCTCAGTTATTACTAAGAACTGCGTGTTGTCACTATAGTAGACATGATTTTGTTGGTTACATCCTACCTTTTTTAGAATGTTGGGATTTAAATTAACAGTGCAAATATTTCTATGAATCTGTTCATTAGTTTTCTAAAGATTGAGAAAAAATAGAAATGACTTATCATATAAAAATCGTTTTTTGTTTGTTTTTTTTTTTCATTATAATCTCAGTCTGTTTTTTCCTTGTATTTTTCCAATTTTTGAATAAAATGTACATTCAAATCAAGTTTACGTTTTATTCAAGGACTTTCCTCCGATTCAGTCATTATCAAAAACTGGATGTTTTCAGTTTGGGAGGCAAACTTTTGATGGCTTCAACGTGTCATTAGGTACAGTATAGTGAATTTGAACCACGCCAAAGGACGTTACATGTATTATTTTAAGCGAATTTCACTTCATCGGGAAAAAGCATGCATCAAATATTTCATGTATTGTCCTTGTCATTTGACTTAACTCGTTTGAATAAATTCTTGCTACCTAAATATACTATATATATATATATATATATATATATATATATATATATATATATATGTGTGTGTGTGTGTGTGTGTGTGTGTGTGTGTGTGTGTGTGTGTGTGTGTGTAAAAAAGGCTTAAACACTAATATTCCATGGTCTGAATTTTATTCCATTCAAAAGAAATTCAGAAAAAAAAAAAAACACCTCGGAGTTGGGTTTTTTTTGTTTTCTTTTGAATTTGTAGGTCTGATGAATTGATCGTATTTATGATTCCAATGGAATAAATTATGACCATGGAATATTAGTGTTTAAGCCTTTTTATTATATCCTTTTCTGTCCCGGACATTGAGTTCTACCTGGATTCTATCCTTTTTGATTTATTTTTTATACAACTATATATGTATATGTATATGTATATTATCTATCTATCTATCTATATATATATATATATATATATATATATATATATATATATATATATATATTAAGCAATATACATATCTTACGTTATTGCACAACTCGGAGATGCATGCCGAAGCAATTTTCAAGTGCTGAATGATAATATTTATTTTTATCTTATTTTATTCCAGCACTTGAAAATTGCTTTGGCATGAAACTCCGAGTTGTGCAATTAATGTAAGATATCATGTATATTTCTTAATATGTATATATTAAATAGCTCTATTACTCAACTTTGAGCACTGTTTTTTTTTCTTACAATAGATTATCTATATGTTTTTTTATATATAGCTATATATATATATATATATATATATATATATATATATATATATATATATATATATATACCAAGAGCAATTCATTTGTTTTTGTTGTTCACTGAAGACTATATGAAATGCATGCTCTATTGGCTTATGGTCCAGTGATTGACTTGACCAGTTTAAATCTGTCCATTTTTTTCTGCTAATGAAGTCCTTTGTTGTGTTGGCAAAATATGTTTTGGGTCATTGTTCTGCTGCATAATAAATTTCGCCACGATTAGTTTTGATGCATTTCTCTAAATTGCCAGACAAAACGTTTCCACTGCCATCATAATCAATAAATACGAATGCGCCTGTTCCAGAAGCAGTCATGCAAGTCCAAGGCAAGACACTGCCTCCATCATGCTTCACAGATAAGCTTGTATGCTTTGGATCATAAGCAGTTCCTTTTTTTCTCTACACTTTGGACTTTCCATCACTTACGTAGAGATTATCTTGGTCTCATCAGTCCATAAACCTTTCTTCTAGAACTGTTGCCACTCATTTCTGTAATTACATGCAAATTCTAATCTGGCCTTCCCATTCTTATGCTGATGAGTGATTTGCATCTTGTGGTATAGCTTTTATATTTTTGCTCTCAAAATCTTCTTCGAACAGTGGATGGTGAAACCTTCACTCTTGCACTGTGGAGGCTGTTGGTGATGTCATTGACTGTAGTTTTTGGGTGTTTCCTCACAGCTCTCACAATATTTCTGTCATTAACTGCTGTTGTTTTCGTTGGCCGACTGTTGCTCAGTGTACCAGTAGTTTTTTTTCCCTTTTTCACGACATTCCAAATTGTTGTGTTGGCTATGCATAAATACATTCATGCTAATTGTTCTGATAAACTTTCCTCTAAGGTACCTAGAATGATGAATTTAATCACAGTACTAGATTGACGGCAAGATCTCGTCAATTTACTGTTGAAATGGCTAGCCATATCTTCAGTAGTAAATTGATGAGACCTTGCCGCCAATCTAGTACTGCGCTTAAATTCAGCAATCTAGGTACTACAGAGGAAAGTTCAGCGAAAAAATTAACATGAATAACTTCTTATAGAAAAGACATAGCGAAGCTGCGTTATGGTGGCTGGAAAGTAACTGAAGCCGAGATGCCAGGTCAGGACCTATAACATTACAGACTGTTCTTTCGATTTTATCAACAATCTCTAAATCTATAGCAGTAGCACCATACCATATATGGCAGCCATATTCAAAGCAATAGCGAATGGTCTGGCGAGAAAAATTGTTTAGCACGTCACAGTGAACCAACTTTCCTCGCAGAAGACCTATTTTAGTAAATGATAATGCTCGATTGATATTATCTGTTAAGAATAATATATCTTGAAAAGTATATTGTGGCCATATCCCATTAAAACCCCTGTTCTCGACCGATCGCCGAAGTTAAGCAGCATTGAGCGGATCAGTACCAAGATGGCCGATCGCTTGGGAATACCAAATGTTGTAA